AGGTTATTTTTTGACTCCCCCTTATTTTGTTTTATACCTTCCAATTGAAGGTATAGCCCAGATTGTTGCTATTCCTCAACCCTATCCATTTGTTATTTCCTCTGTCATGTACTTGGGTAGGTCTGACCTACATTTTCTTTGTTCCTGAACAAAAACTGATTTCTTTCTGCAGAAGCTGGAAAAGCAAGTCTTATGTGACCAATGTGTTTTCCACCCCTCACATGAGGAAAAGGGCACAGCCCTTACTATCAAAAAATAATTCTGTACCAGTCACACAGCCAGATGCTTTGAGCTGCTCCTTGTTATAGGCTCACTCAACACAAAATAAAACAGACTCCCTAACACAAAGGGTTCTGGTCTCCAAACTAAAACACAATTTCATCAAAATCTTACCATTCTGGAACTTTGAAAGGTCCTAACCAATACATCTTCCATTTTAAATCTTTTTTAAGTACACAGATACTAAATTAAGGCCAGGCAAATTCTAGTAGTCTTTTTCAGATAACTTCTAAATCTCAATGGTACCTCCCACCTCTTCCTGTTCCCTTTTTATGTGGGTGCCTAAATCCGAGTGGTTCCCAGCTGTAATTGTCTCTGCTGTTATTAATGCTGCGAGATTATCATCATTTATTAGATTGAAATTATCTTTCTCCTCCAAACATGTATTTTGAGCACTGAAAACAATAAAATACTTTGTGTACTATGCTTTTATTACTGTTGTTACAACTTACCCTTTTATTATTCCAAAGATGAGGTGTCTATTTCATTGTTTTGTTTATTCCTCTTTTTAGCAGAAGAGTTACAATCTAGTGATACTAATTTAATCTGCACATTGGTTTGGAAAGTGTAGGAAGAAGAAATAAACATTGGAGCAGGCTTGGCAATGTGAGGCATGAATTTGGCAGATGTGATGTTTTAAGTTGTTTAGGACATAGGGCATAGTTTAGAGAGCTCCTGAGGCAAAGTAAAAGAAATCAATTTGGTGATGGGAGGAATTTCATTCTACTGAAGTAAGAGGGAAAGACAGAAAGGAGATGAGAGAAGTGCTGTTTGGGAAGCACTTGATTTTGTACAGAGCAGGAAAATTATCTGCTCTTTGCACCTCCCCCTCCACCATCTGCTTCCTTAAAATTCCCTTTTTCTGTACTTGAAAGGAACAGAGTTTAATAGTATTCATGCATTTGAAGTGCTAGGCTAGTCCACACTTCCTCTGCTTTTGCATTTATCATGAGAAGTAGTAAAAAAAAGTTATATGATAATATAAAAATAAAATAATGATTACTTAATGAAAAAAGTAAACAAACAGTTAATTTTAAACAAGGATATGTGACTTCAAATAAATTAAGGAACAGGATCACAGGCATATTCGGGGACTAAATTACAAGTTAGTTCACCTCAGTGTCTAGACTGAGACAGTGTAGTAGGTTACCTCAGCAAAGCACTAAATTGTAGACACTCTTGGACCTGAACAAGTTGACAAAACTTCATTGACAGATCAAATTTACTATGATATCTTGAATTCAGACATAATAGTAAAAGCAGGTGGAGGAAAGTCACAGATAGCTTTATAGAGGAATAATGACAGGGTAATATATGTTTATGCTTAACACATCCCACACTGTCACATGGATATCAGTTTGTAGGTGTCCATCAGTCACAACCACTACTTTGTCAAGAAGAGACATTTTCTTCCTTTGTGTGGAAACATTGTATTGTTGGCAGCAGGCAGAGAGCAACTCAGGAGATAGCTAACTGGGGATACTGAGGGAAGATTCTATGGATGCTGAGCAAACAAGGGACATATACAACCCATAATTTCCACCAAGACAAAGCCTGCTTCTAAATTTCTGGTTTCTACAATCCTCTTACCCAAACTGCTTCTTACTTTCAGCTCTTCTCTGAAGGACCACTGACACTGGGATTTGGGGAACCAATGTGCGTGGAGGGGAGTTGGAATGAAGAAGGTGAACACTGCTGCTAGGCTTTCATGGAACCCAGTCATGATCCTGACCTTGTATTCTAAGAGGATCTGTCCTTTCCCTGTGCAGGGTGAAGAGGCAAGTTTTGCAGTAGGCAGACCTATCTCAATTCTGCCATAGGGTAGTCTTGGCCACACTTTTGATGTCTGTTTCTTTGTTCATAAAAATGGGTTTTATATAGTTTCTCTGTGTTACAAATTAAATTATGTATGCAAAGTGACTGGATACAGTAGTATCTATAAATATAGTGTATTTGGCAAAAAATTATGGTAAGACTGAGTCAGCAATGCCTGTCTCCACCTTTCAGCTTTGGTTCCAATATCCCACTCTGCCCACAAAACTCATGTTCAAGTTAGAACTAGCTCTGCTGGCTTCTGCTGTCCCTGCTTCACCTTCACAGCTTTGCATCAAATGTCAGCCACTGCCAGTTCCATAGTCTTGGGACATCATGATAAAGTAACCAATAGAGATGAGACATGGTGTGTGGTCACTCACTTAGTAGCACACCTCTTCCCCCCCACCCCATTTCCAGGACATTACCAACAGTAACCAAGGTTTCTGGGCTCACAGTACCCCCTGATGGCTGACATGGGGAATTTTCTCCTCCCAATGATGCCTATCTTCTCTTGGTGAGACTCCCCTCTCTTACAGATCATTGAGCTGTTCATTCCATGGTGAACCATTCCTTTCCCACAAACTGTGTGCAGCCTTTTCTACTTTGGTTTTAGTAAAATAAATTCCTGTGCAATTATTTCAGGAACATCTACTTCTTCCTCCCTTTCATTCCGTCACTTTATTCTATTTATGAATCCTCAGATTACTACTATAAAGGTGAATAGCTGCAATGGTAGCATGCATCAAGAAAACACTCTATACATTTAGAAGTAAGACGTAGTGTAGAACCAGCTACATTAATCCAAAAGCTCTGTGAGACACCCAGCTGTGTTCTTCAGAACCTGAAAAAGAGGCCACCTACCCCCCACACCTTTTTTCAAGTAACACTATTCTTTTCTTTACATTACTTTCCTATTCATTTAATTTCTGAAATTGTACTAGCTTGTCTCCTATTGATTCTTTGCAAATATAATTCAGCTACAATAAGGGTTAAGTGCATTCCTGTGGCTATTCTGGAAAACAAAGTACAATCTTTCAGCATTAGTTCTGTATGAAAAAGGGAACTCAAAGCTCCAAACAATTGCTTTATAACAAATCTTTAAAAATGTTGCCTGTTGTGATTTAACATTGGAAAATTGTGGTTAGGAGTGGTCAGTTTTTAAAAATTCATATTGAAGTCTGGATTCTCTGGTTTTTATCTATCAAAGAATGACATCTCCTGGGATTACTGCTTACAAAGGTATTCAGGTATAATTTATCTGGGCAGACATTGATCCTTCCTTTATTAAAAGGATAATATAGTAAGTGATTTGCTGTGCTATAGGATGTCCTAGAAAGTTATTGAATTCACTTCCATGACTATGGAATTGCTTCCTGGTGAAAACACATCAAACATGTCTCAAAATATACCTGCTCCTTTTACTCAGTGTAAATTCAAATAATACCAATGATTTATGTCTTTATGCATCAAGGTTTGAATTTAAATTGATTTATATATTTATGCATCAAGGTTTGAGTTTAAATTACTTTTCAGAATACAATTATTTGGGCAAGAATGATTAAAACAGCATTAACTTCATGCTAACATGATTAATTCTTCTGTTTGGGAAGCTGATTCTTAAATAGACATCAGTAACTAGATAAAACTTGACTATGATAAAAATGATTATTTAAAAGATTTCTGTCATAAAAGAACAGCAAAAGGCAGTTTTTAGTTTCCATATTTAAATTAAAAGCTAAAACCTTTTATAAAAGTTATTAAATAACCGAATTATTTAATGAAATGACAAATTAGCTATTATTTATATTGACCATATATAGACAGGTATGGAAAACACAATTTGAAAATGTTTTTGTAAGAGACTTTCCTAATTTGGTCACAATTCAAGGTAATGCTTGCATAGAATTTTTTTCTTTGAAATGAGTTCCATATTCCTAGCACTGAAACTACTTTCTCCTTCAACAGAAAAATACAAATTAAAGTAACAAGTAAATACCACTAAATCATTAAAATTCTGTGAAAACAGACATTCTACATAAATTGTAAATGTACATTTAAGATAACAAAAATGTAAAGAAATCATAATGATGTCATGAAATAGTTATGTAGTGCACAAAGTATTTCAATGACTGTTCATCAAAGACTTATTTGAACTGACACATTCACAATTTTTGAAAAGAGATACCTGCTTTCCAATAATATATATCATTTGAATTCATAGCGTTTTTGGTGGTACAAATTAAAACATTCAGTGTTGATGTTTTCGAAAGCATTACATTTAAATTATTTTCTCAGGACCCGAAGAGAAAACACCAGAGGAAACATAACCAGACTGAATTGTTTAAAATGTATTTTCCCTTTAATTAAATAAGAAACATCTGTCTAGGGATTTTGGAAATGAATGTAATCCATCCACACTCTGCCTGTACTAGTTTGCATCCAACGTCCAATATTTTGAAAGAAAATTCTTTCTTTCTGTAAAGAATTAAACGGCATCAGAGAGTGTTGTCTGGGTCTACTGCAGCTAAATCTTGCCTCCGGAGTTGGGGGAGTGGAAATGCTAAGATTCCAACTTTTCCCAGGTTTGTCTTTGGGAAACCACCAGATTCGCTCCATAGTCAAGGTTAGGACGTAACTTTTCTATTTCTCCAAAATATTCACTCACCCTAAAAATGCTCACCTCTGGACAGTAAGGAAACTAGATGCATCCAATCAAAGTTGAAATAGGATTCCCTCAGATGTTTTCCCTCAGGGTTGAAACAGCTGATTTCTCTAGGGACCTGTACAGTTCCCCCCCAACACGGATATAGCAGACAGTCCAAAGGAATACAAAAAGAATGGTAAAATGACTCCAGGGTGGTTCTTGTTCTTTCAAACCCCAGTTCAGAATAACAAACATCACTTACTGGTGGTGTCAAATGGTATCTGCTTGCACTGTGCGGACCCCTCCGCCGGCCAGGGACAGTAATAGACGGCCCCCCCTTCCACGATGTCCGGTTGGCTGGTGTTGGCTTTGGGCGCCCCCACCAAGACACTCGCTCTGCAAAAGGGTTGGAGAAGGTCACTTTTGGGGATCACAAAAGTGTGCGCACGCAGTTCAGTCTGTAGCCACAAGCCCACTGGATTGGAGTAGGTGTGGAGGGCGACAACATATTTAAGATGAGGAGACTGTCAAACTTGATTTCCTCTTGAAACCTATGGGCGCCAGACACCTGGTTTGCAAGAAGGTGCAAATGGCCCTAGCTCTTCTCTAGGTGGAGCTATGTGGATACAGTGAGGTGAGAGTAGAGGGGGAGCCGAGGACAGAACCCAGTTGCGTGTAGCCAAACGAACTTGTACCCGGACACTTAAGTTGTTACAGACTATGGATAAAGAGTGTGTGGGGTGGTCGTTGTTTTAACTGGCTTGAGTCTGTTCGGTCCCGTCTTCTCCTTTGTAGGATGCAAAGGAATTCTAGGCAAATGGCATGTCTCATAAGTTCAAAGTGCTCAAGACACTCGCTCTGTAAAAGGGTTGGAGAAGGTCACTTTTGGGGGATCACAAAAGTGTGCGCACACGTAACGCGCACGGACAGAGAAGAGAGAAGAGGCTGGTGGCTGGCGGGCAGCGGAACCGGACCCCAAGTGGGCAGCGGGATGGGGGATCTCAGCATCACCTTCCTCCAGGCTGCGGGAACCGGACGCGGGTTCGTCCCCCGCGCCCCCCCCCACCTCCCCTGGGTGAGCGACTTACGTGCCAGCGTCAGGTACGTGGAAATCCACCGCGTAGCCAAAGTAGCTGCCCTCCGGGCCGCTGTACACCGTGAGCTTGTCCGTGTCCAAGTTGAACGCCAGCGAGGGAGGGGACCACAGCATCCCCAGCACCGCCGAGAAGCACCAGAGGGGTGCGAGCCTACGTGCCCGGCTCCCCGGGGGTCCGCAGGGGACCCCGGCAGACATCGCCTTCTGTGCCGGCGTCTGCTCACCCTGGCGGGGGCAAAAGCGGGGGTGGCCCTGGCGGTCCCCAGATGCCCGTGTCCCGGGTCGGCGCGCCAGCGGTGACAGTCCCCGCGTCTGGTCCCGCCTGCCTGCCCCGCGGCTCGGGGTTGGCCCAGGAATCCTGCGCGCTCGCCCCCTCCCGCGGCGGGCGGGCGCCGTGCTCTCGCGGCGCCTCCTAGCGGCCTGCCGGGGGACTGCGGGCCGGAGCCTGCAATCCTGGGGTCACTTGATGCGCAGCGCATTTCCATACCAGTAGCATCTCAAGGACCATCCAAGCCACTTCGTCACTGTTTTAAGAAGCCATGCCCCCCATGGGGCAAGAGTTTGCTCGTTTCTCCCTATTGCGCGGCTAGGATGGAAAAATGGAAACGTGCACCCCACCAACAAGCCGGGCAAGGTGTTTGTCTTTGCGTCAGCCCTACAGCCTGAGGACCCCTCAAGTGTCTGCGTTTCTTCCTCTGTGACTGAGAGCTGAAGTTGAAATGCGACAGTCCTCTCTTCCCTCAGCTCTGCCCCATTGCTCAGCAGAGGTAGCTAATAAAGAAAGCAAGCCTGGAGATTTTACTTAAGTCGTCCTCAGATGCATCTCAGACATATTAAATGACTTGATAATGAACCTTCGGACCCTGTGTGATTAGGGCAAGGACTGGCAAAGTCAGGGATGCTAAGTTACAGTTTATTTAAAGCAGGGGAAGAAGATGTAGGTTGAAAGCAACAGCAGTTCAAACTTCAGTTCCAACCCACTAGTATTACTTATTGATCTCTTAATGGCTCCTGCGTGGAGAGGAAGTGAGGAACCAGTAAGGTGGAGATGGAGGAAGGAGCGGAGAAGTACAGTACAGATTTCCCTACATAACATGTGGTCTTCGAGGGGCACAGGTCTAGTGCTAAGACAGCAAAGGCTGAGGTTAAATAGAAAGGAAGAGTTGAAACTAAAGAGGTAAGTAGTTCCTGAGGAGTTTTGAGGACATTTGGTTGCAAGATTCTAAGTATAAGGCTTATATTTGGGCATCATGGGAGACAGATACATTGAGGAAAAATATTGAAGACAAGAAGGCTGGGGTTAAGTGGATGTGCACAGGATTGGGATAAAAGGAGTGGGTTTCCAGGTGGTGGGTAGTAGGACTGGATAGATCTCCTGAGGCCAAGTGTCTTAATAACAAGAACATGTATTAGGTGAAGGGAACCAGTTTTAGAGCAGCCCACGGAATTCAAAACCTTTAGTGGCCTGTGTGTGTGTGTGTGTGTGTGTGTGTGTGTGTTGGAAGGAAGAGAAAGCAAAGAAAATATCGCATAGATGCATCAGGAGATGAAGACCCTAACCTGATTAACAGATAGAAAGAAGGAAAGGCTACAAATGTTAAGAGAAAGGAAAATGGTGAGGGGCGGGATGGCAGAAGGAAAGTGTTCAAGGCGAGTCTGAAGGTATCTAGTTAGAAGGTAAGAATGAGAAACGGTAGCAAAGAGGCAGGGTGAACGACAGGTGTGGAAGCAGATGGTGAGTTAGATGCTGGACCGGTTGAAAGAGCTACCAGTATGATATTCCTAGCATTGATTACAGTCTGCAGCGCATCATTGCATTGGTGCAGATCAAGAACATTATCTGAGTTTTCTCAACTCCCTTCCACCAGAACCCACTTGGTAGACTGATAGGAATTTTATGTCTTATCCCTCATAAGAATACTAAAAATAAATAAACTTTCAAAAGAATCTCTGCAAATATCAGATCTGGATCATTTCTAACTGGATTGTCCTTTCCCAGATGAGGACTTCAGAGTAGATGGTAAAAGTTTTTCCTTCATCCAAAAGTGCATTTGTGCTGGGCACAGAGCCTGCTACTTTGGTCAAATTACTATTGTTAATGAAAGTGATGTTCCCCTTAGCAGATTTCAATGAGAATTCACATGCTGCCCACACATGGGAATGTTCAGAGCTGTTGTGGTCTCTGAGGCGAGGGAATAATCACAACTCTGTCATTTCCTGACACTGGTATGCGGAAAATTGGAAATTTGTCATATTGTAGGCAAGGCTGCAATGTGATGTGAAAAACGTAAGTAGGTAGAAAGCGATAGCATGATTCTGGGTACACCTGATGAGGTACTGACTTACTGGGCAGAACTAGACTTATTGCACATGACACCCTGATTTACACAGAACAATACATCAGCACAGCACCCCTGTTGTGCCTATTTGCTTATTTTTTTAACATATTTTTACCTTTCTATTCTTTTTGTTTAAGATGGGTAGATAAAGGAAAATTTCTTATTGCCACATAAGTGGATGTGTTCTTGTTCCTTTCTCCTAAAACACACTTGCTCTTGGCATACACAAGTCTATATTCTTCATACCGTCACTCACCACTTTAGAGTGAGGACCAAGATTAAGACCGTGGAAGCTACAATGACAGGCAGGTACACAAAGGAAGCAAATGACACAATCTGAGCCAAGGTCTATCAGAGGCCTTAGTCAGCCTCTAAGGAATAATATCTTACAGCTGTGCTAATCATGAGACATCTCCTTTCTAAAGTCAGTAAGCTACATGGAACTGGTCTTTGGGGCATGACTGTGAGAAACTCTTGTCAGATGGCATAAAACAGCTGTGGACTTTTCCAGGCAAACTTAGAAAAAGTTTTGGTGGCACCTTGGTATTCAAAGAGTGGAGGGAAAACAAATGAACTCAAAGCTCTTTGGCCTTCTTAGAAAGAGAAAAGCCTGAGAAAATACCAAATCTTACAAGAAGCTGGAAAAAGAAACAAGAAACTTCCATAATTGCAAGGAAGGCATAAGTCTGAATAGGCGTCTTATACATTTCAGCCTTCTGACACTTGGAACAGTGCCAATCAGTAAGGTCTGGAGTACTGTCAACGAAACACATGGACAGTGACAGGTCTCATGCTGAATGAGAAGTTTGACATTTTAAAGGTCGACTGGCACTGACTTAGTCATCAGAAAAGCAAGTCTGGGAATTGTTTATGGTTCATGTGAGTATATGTGTATGTTTAATACTGAGAAAGGTATACATAGTTGTTTCCCTAAAAATAAAAGAACTCAAAGGTCAAAGATGGAATAGATTTGGCCCAAACATTCCAAAAATAAACAAGTAAAAAAGTACCAGAGGAAAAAATGGAGTGCTTAAAAATAGAGATGTTGTAACATTTAACCAGTTATTGCAAACTTTTAATCACACATATTCATAATTTAATGACCAACTATTATTTCTGGTAAGTCTATTTATTTATGTGATGAAATGTGACAATGCCTTATAATCAAGAGGTCTGAAGTCTTGACATGATTATTTCATGAAGACCAACACACGATCAATATGTTAACAAAAGTGTTCACGAAGGCTCCATCAGCTTTAAAAAACAAATGCACCAGAAATGGAACATGGATTTCTAATCTCTTCTTTATAATTTGGGCAACTGGGCAATTACAGATTTTACTTTCACTTAATAGTTTTCTGTTTTCTTGTAACATTCTAAACAATGGATCAGTAGGAACTGGTTAGTAAAACCTACTCCAAAGAAATAACTTTTAAATCTGTCAACTCTCTCTGCCGACATAAACTGATGTTTGCTTGTTTTCTATTCTGGTGTTTGAAGGGTGAATTTCATCATCGTCAAATCATTTTTCTCTTTTCGATGATGTTTGTAATTCTCTTTTATAATTTTCCTTCATGATTTTATTAGCCACTTTTAAGTTACAAGTGCTGGAGTGGTGTCCCCTGTTGGCAGAAATCCAAGCACAGCCAATAGTTGGTTTAGCTGAAGCAAATTTTCTACTAGTCAGAATCACACTCCAACTTGATATCTTCTAGGACAAGCCTTTAAAAACAGCCCTGCTTGAGGCAAAAATAAAAATTAATAAAGCAATTCTTTCTATAAAGAGATGTGTAAGAAAATATTCAAGGGTTTTTTGTTTTTTATAAACCTCTAAATCTCCTTGATATACTAAGGCTGAGAGAAGTGCCACTCTGTTGAGAAGGAAGATACTTGAACTGGGAAGCCAATCATTCTCCCCAGCCCTGCCCAGACCAGAGCTATAAAATTGTCCTCAAGTACAGTGTTGCAGGTGTCTTTATGGATCCCAGACAATGGCAGCAGCAATAAGTGTGGTTCCTGGGGGAGTAGTAGCCAGATGTCCTCTGTTGCTTTATTCAGCTCTTGGGGAGGCTATAGAACTTGAGTGAGATATGAAAGTCTCCTGAAAATAGTCAGGGAAGTCCTCCAATCATTACAGGAGTGAACCTGGAGCATCTGATATATTGATCTGAGTGGGTTGAAACAGCTGGCTAGGTTGATGCATTTATTCTGCCTTTAGGAAATCCCACTAGAGTGTCTAGGACTGCCCTCTAGTGTCTGTGATCCTATTCAAGTGCATGGGATTTTCCATGAATAACAACTTCCTTGTGAAAACTGACTTAACCTCATAACATTTGAGATGACTCTCATAGATAGATTTTTTAAATAGATATAATTAAAAAGTTTCCAAATACTGAGGTGATCTTTCACACACATTTATTAGAATTTCTATTCCTTTGATATAGCTTTGCAAATCATTAGGTGGAAAAAACAAAAAAGAAGGAAGAGACAGAGGATAATAGGAAGGAAGGAAGGATGGGAGGGAAGAAGAGGGAGTTGTCTATAAAAACTACTTACCATTTTCCAAACTAATGGCAAAATCCAAATCAGATTTCCCTGTCAAGCGTGCAAAGCATGAGTCCAACTCAGCCTCACTTGTCTTCTTGATTTTGTGGGGCTTTTTATTCATGGTTTTTATCCTTTCAACAAATATGAGCACTAACTATGTATTAGGCACCATGCCAGCAATGGAGATGGTGAGCTAAAGAAGTATACAGCTGGCTCTCCATATCAACAGGTCTCACAATCCACAGACTCAACCAATCATGGACAGAAGTAGTCAGGAAAAAAGTTGCATCTGTACTGGACATGTATAGACTT